GGCCGCGCCTGGCACCGCGGGCGCGCCGCCCCGAGCCCTGCCTGCTGGAAGCCCGGGCCGGGCCGCCGGACGCCCGCCTTCCCCAGCCCGGCTCGTGCTGGCGACCTTGGGCCAGCCCTGGCTGGAAGGGGCCCGAATCTCCCCGGCTGTGTGAGGAGGAGGGTGATTCTCAGGGTGGAGGGGGCGCCCGCCAGGCTCCTCTCGAGAGGATGGGCCCAGCGCTAAGCCCGTCCGGACTCCGAAGACCCCGGAAGCTTGTACAGTTAACACTCAGAAGGGAAACATGAGTCTCTGCTGCTCGGCTCTGCTTAAGGGTGGTGGGCTGGAGCCAGGGCACCAGGGACTCTTAGGCTGCACGACCTTTGACCAGCCTGTTGACCCCTAAACTCAACTTTTCTATCTGAGAAATGGGAATGGAAAGGTGTTGGATTATATTCACCAGCATTCTCGGGCCATGCGCTGGGCGGGGGTGGGAGGTGGGTTTTGTGGCAGGAGGACAGCCTTTTCCCAGGGGCTCCTTAAGGCCCCAGTACTTCTCCTTAGCCCTAGGGCTTCCTCACACCCAGGCTGCGTTCTGGGCCTTGCCTCAGGCTAGATAATTAGTGGCTAGGACAGAGGCACCTGTAGTGCTAGGTGGGCCATTCTTTGTGTGTTTGAGCAAAGGGCAACTCCAAGACATTAAAGGATGGAGTAACAGATATAGAGAAGAAAGGACTCTTTTTGCCCGTGCATGTACTATTTTTATTTACTTATGTATTTATTTTCCAAGGTGTGGTTTTTCTGTGTAGCCCTGGCTGTCCTGTAACTCAGCATGTAGACCAGGCTGGCCTCAAACTCAGAGATGCGCCTGCCTCTGCCTCCCAAGTGCTGAGATTAAAGGTGTGTCTCCACACTTATTTATTTGTTTACTTTCAAATTTTTTTTTAAAACTTATCTTTTAAATGTACATTGGTGTTTTGGCTGCATGTATGTCTCTGTGAGGGTGTCAGATCCCCTAGAACAGGAGTTAAGGACAGTTGAGAGCTGCCAAGTAGGTGGTTGGAGTTGGACCTGTGTCCTCTGGAAGACCAGTCAGTGCTCTTAACTGCTAAGTCATCTCTCCAGCGCCACGTTTTAAGTTATTATTTTACGTGTATGAATGTCTCCCTTGTATGTATGTTTGTACGCCACATGCGTGCAGTGCCCATGGAGGGCAGAAGAGGGTGTTGGATTCCCCGGAACTCGAATTATAGGTGTTGTGAGCTGCCATGTGGATTATGAGAATCCAACCCAGGTCCTCTGGAAAAGCAATCAGTGCCCTTAACTGCTGAGCCATCTCTCCAACTGTTTACTTATTTCCTGGGCACAGATGATCTTCAGTTGTGTGCTTGGCCACCATGAGGGCTTAGGTGTAGAGAATGACATAGTCCCTGTCCTCAAGGAAGCTATCCAGGGAGAAGTCTGGTTAAAGGGGGGTTCAGAACCCAGGCTCTGGCCTCCACTCTAGGCCAAGGTCAGTCCTCTGTTCCCTTTGTACAGAGCTAAAGTGACTCCCCCCCCCCCTTTAAAATGTAATTACATTTTACATTTAATTATTTTGTGTATCTCTCTGGGTAGGATGTGTGTGAAGAGGCACACTTTAACCACAGTGCAAAATCAGAGGATGACTTTTGGGAGTTGGTTCTCTTCTTCCGCTATGTGCGGCCTGGGAATTGAATTGGCACCCCCACCACCACCACCACCAGCCATCTCACAAGCAAGTTAAGATGACTCTGAAAGGCTTCGGACAAATGGATAGGAAGGGAAAGGGCATCCCAGATGGAAGAGCAAAAGCAGCCTTTGGACCCCATGCGCTGAGTTTGGGGAGCAGGAAGGTCTCACCTTATGTAACTGAACACTGACTAGTTAATCAGCTTCAAGTACCAGAGGGTGTGTCATGCTGTCTAGAGAACAGTGCCTGGAGGTCTGTCATGGGTGGGAAAAGCCCGGGAGGTTTGGAGTGAGGCTGAGGGGCCTCAATTTGAGATCGCAGAAATGGTGATGACTCAGGGGACAGAGCAGCGCACCTCTGCCTCCCAAATCCAACGGACCACCGGAGATAACAGTGGGCAAGGCGGATGGATGCAGATTCCTGCCACGTGTAACTACAGATCTTCTGGGTCTCGGTTTCTGTCCCCTGTCCGGTGCGTGTGCATGCGCGTGTGCGTGATGTATTGAGCGCGGTTCCAAACCCTCCCAGCAGAGGCCCTCGCGGGGGAGCGGCGAGCCGCACTCGCTGCGGAGCATTTTCAGCACCGGCCGGCGGACAGCACCTGCTCTGAAAGGGGTGGGACGCGGGAGGAGGAGTCACGGGCTCCGGCTCTGGGCCGCGCTGTCGTCACCCGCCCGGTGCCCGCAACCACACATCCTAGGCAAGCCGGAGCGCCACTACAGGACAGAGCGAATTGGCGGAAAGAGAACGCAAGAGGGAGGGCAGGGATAGGTCAGAGCCTGACCAACCGCCACGTTCCTCCCGGACTGACCGCGGCGGAGCCAGCTCCGCGCCCTAACTAGCAGGATCGGTCCGGAGCTGTCTTCCGAACCCGCGCAGTCGTGGCAAGGAGTGTCAAGCGCCGCTCGGCGCAGGCGCGGAACTGCTACAACTCCTTCCCGCCGATTGGCTGGCCGCGCAGCGAATCAGCAAGCCTACTTGCTCGCTTCCGGGAGCGTCTAGGATGGCCCCGCCCCCTAGCTATCGGAAGTTGACTATGACAAAACCCGATTGGGCGAGGGCTCACCAGTAGCCAATTGGAGGCGTGGAGGGGGAGAGGCTTCTCCGAAGAGCCAATGGGAGACAGCGGAGTGCGACGCCGTGGACATGGCGGCTGCGGTCGGCCAGCCCCGGGACGTGTCGGGCCGTCGGGTGGCTTCGGTCGGCGCTAGGCGAGAGACGCAGGTGTTTCAGTAGGACTGGCACCCACTCCTCAGCGCAGCCAGCCCTTGGGTAGGGCGAACGTCACGGCCATGGCTTATCACTCGGGATACGGAGTCCACGGTGCGTGAGGAGTGGGGAGGGCGGGGCGCGGCCTGACAGCGGGGCGCCAGAGACCCACCTGCCCGGAGGGAGAAGGCCTGCGGTGACCGCTGCCCAGGGCGGGGAGAGTGTCTCTCGGGTCCCTGCCCTGCCACGCTGCAGCGTGGCCTGGACTTCGCCCTTACTAGCCGGTCCTGAGATCAGGCGGCGGTAGCGCTGCCGGGATCCCCAAGTCTAATCCTGTATAAACCGAGTTCGCCTCCAGAACTTCCATTCTCTGTAATAACTCTGGCAGGGTTCCTGACCACTGTCCAGGGACTGTGAGTAGCCAGTGTTGCCTTTTCTAATTATGTTAAAGGATGTCTCTCCGGTGATCGTAGCCAAGCAAACGTCTGCTCGCCCTCTAGTTCTCAAGATCATCCATCCGCCTTGAGGGACTTCCCAGAAACCCCAAGTGGGCAGCCACTTCTAGGCGCGCCTTTGCCCCCTTCTTGTAGTAGAGGATTCCAGCAAAGGATAGATCTTTCTCAAAACGCATCCTGGCTTTTCCTCAACGCTTGTTTGGTGCCCCAGGACCTGGGCACAGCCTCTCCGCGTGGGGAAGGGGCAGTGGTTGGGTTCTTGCCTTGTATGTCTGTCATCTCCTTTGGTACTCCCTGCAGGTTCCAAACACAGGACCCGGGCGGCCCCAGATCCTCCTCCACTCTTCGATGATACTAGTGGTGGCTATTCCAGCCAACCAGGTGGATACCCAGCCCCAGGAGCTGATGTAGCCTTCAACGTCAACAACCTACTTGGAGACCCAATGGCCAATATGGCTGTGGCCTATGGTAGCTCCATAGCATCCCAAGGGAAGGACATAGTGCACAAAGAGGTGTGGCCCATGCTCAGGAGGGTGACCGGGTTTCCGAGGTGCTGCAGGGTCCCCTCTTACTCCCCCGGGCAGCCTTTCGGAAGGAGCAGTGTAGCTTATCCACAGCCCGTTTTCCTTGCTTCCAGCTGCACCGTTTTGTGTCTGTGAACAAACTCAAGTATTTTTTTGCTGTGGACACAGCCTATGTAGCCAAGAAGCTGGGGCTGTTGGTCTTCCCCTACACCCATCAGGTGAGCTGGCAAGCCTCTCCCCGCTCGTGGGTAACCTGACTGATCCTCAGACCTCAACCCCTGCCCCCTCTCTTTTTTTTTTTTTTCTTCCCCTCTGTTCATGCTCATCGACCACTGCCAGAACTGGAAGATGCAATACAGTCATGATGTGCCTCTGCCCCCTCGGAAGGACCTCAATGCTCCTGACCTCTATATCCCCAGTGAGTCTCCATGGCGGGCTTAGGGACACAGGAGACGTGTGCCTTTGAAGCATAGTAAGGAGACTCAGTTGATAGTCCAGCATCCATTTCTGGTCCTCTTCATGTGTGACTGTCACTAGACACCAGGTTGACAGGGTGACCAGTGAGAAACTTTTCCTGAATGTGACCTTGATGTTTCATTAACACTTTCCTGCCTTTCAATTTGAACTCCTCTCTCTCCAGTGTAGGGCTCTGGGTTTTTACTTAGCCCAGCAGCTTCCAGCTGTAGGACTTTAGGCTGGATCTTTCAGACGTCAGTAAAGCAAGGCTGATAATGGCCTCTACCTCAGAGGATTATTGTGGGGAGCCAGGAAGATGATATGTGCTGTGCATCGCACCTGACAAGAAGAAAAACACACCAGACAGTAGGCGCTAGCTGCTGTTGTTACATGCCCTCCGAGGCCTGCTCCCGCATTCCTTCCTCTAGGAAGCCTGACCCCTGGAGCAAATGCTTCCTCCTTTCCAGATCCTCACAGCTGCCTGGCTCCATGGCACTCGTCAGGCTAGCTACATTGCCTCTGCACCTCACTCTTCACTGTCCTGTTGGCTAAGCAGGTTCAAGCTCAGAGGACACACACAAGGAGAGTAGATATGCTAGGGCAGAGCCATCCAGAGCAACTGCCAGGAAGGGCAACTGCCCTCTGTCCCTCTTAGAACCACTGTTATAAAGCTGGCGGCAGGGCCTTAACTGTCCTGTAGCTTTACAGGTGGCAGCAGTGCTGTGGCCTCTGGCCTGGGGAGGTGGGGATGGGGGTGGGGTGTGGGTGCAGGGGAGGATGACTTAGGTTGAAATTGCTACCGAAGCCTGGCTCTCTGTGGCTTTGAACTCCTGTGAAAACTACCCGTAGTTAAACCTGGGGTTTCCGCATGGTCAGGGACCTAACCAGTGCCTCTGACCACACTCAGAATTGTTGGCCAAGAGGGACACCTGAACCCTAAGGACAGCCTGGGTTGTCCACCGAGTCTGCTAGTCAGGCCAGAAATCAGGCTGGTTCCTGTCCAGAATGAGCAGTGGCCCAGCTCCACAGTGTTATTTTGGCGATGCTGCAGGAAGCTCAGGCGCTTCCCAGTGTAGGAGGGAAGGTGGTGGCTCGTGGCCCTGGGAGGTGCAGTGGTATTCAGCTGGAGGGGGTAGTCAGAGATGTGCACTGGCACAGGACTAGGAGAACTGAATGTGAAGTGTGAACAGTGTCTGGGATGTGCGGGAGGGAGGCGTGGGAGAGGCTGAGTACCAGTGAATGCCTAACGAGGGGCTTTGGGTGAGGAAGCCAGAGTGACTACTTCCTCTCCTCTCTTGGCAGCCATGGCCTTCATCACGTATGTGCTGCTGGCTGGGATGGCACTGGGCATTCAGCAAAGGTTGGTAGCAACCCTCTTCTCCATCCGGCTTATCTCCCTTCCTCTGTAGAGAATCTGTGCCAGGTCCTGTGTCAGGTCTCCGCTCACCCACCACTGCCCTTAGCCTCTCGCCTCACACCTGCTACAGGATGGCCGATTCTGACCTACCTCCCGTGGCTGCAGGTTCTCCCCGGAGGTGCTGGGCCTGTGTGCAAGCACAGCCCTAGTGTGGGTGTTCATGGAGGTGCTGGCCCTGCTTCTGGGCCTCTACCTGGCCACCGTACACAGTGAGCTGAGCACCTTTCACCTCTTGGCCTACAGCGGTTACAAATACGTGGGGTGAGTGCCTGTGGGGGAGGGTTTGAAGGGTCTGTGGCCCCAGCTTTTGAGATCGCGTAGCCGCAGCCTTCTTTCTGATGCCAGAGACCATTTCTACCCCTTCTCAACCCCCACCTCTCCTCTGTGAGTAGATGGCTGCTTCCAACAGTGTCCCCCTGGGGCCAGTAACTTGAAGGAGGTTGAGGATTTGTGAGTTGTTCAGGGGATCCCAGAGAAGAGGAGGGAACATGAGGTCCTGGGGCCGTGTCCTGAGCCTTGCCAGTCCATTTTTAGCCTGGTTCCTTGTAGGGAACAGCCTGGTGCGACGGGCCGTGGTGTTGGGTGGGCCAGTCTCAGGCCAGGACCTTGGGGTTCACTGGTTCGTTCCTGCACCCCCAGGATGATCCTGAGCGTGCTCACAGGGCTGCTCTTCGGCAGTGACGGCTACTACGTGGCCCTGGCCTGGACATCATCTGCACTCACGTACTTCACTGTGAGTGCGGGGCGGCCCCTCCTCCTCTGGGTCAGCTCTGGGACACATCTCCCCTCCCGACCAGCCTCAGCACACTTCTCTTCCAGGTGCGTTCTCTGCGGACTGCAGCCTCGGGCCCTGACGGCATGGGGGGCTCAGCCGCTCGGCAGCGTCTCCAGCTGTACCTGACCCTGGGCGCAGCTGCCTTCCAGCCTCTCATCATATACTGGCTGACCTTCCACCTGGTCCGGTGATCCCTGGTCCCAGGTGGCACTGAGTTTTCCATACATTGAAGATTTGCGTTCCTTAACTTGGCTTGACCCTGGTTCCTGGGGCCCAAAGGAAAGCTGCAGACATCTCTGGGCCTCTGCTTTGCCCAGGGGGTTCAGCTTGGGGCCGCTTGGGAGAAGAGCAGATAGGTCTGTGGCAGCATTCTGGAGGTGACTTTTAGACTGCCTTGAAAAACAGCTGGAAGGGTTGCATCGGACACAGCTGGAAAGGGAGGATGGAAGGGTGGCTCCAAGGCTTCAGATACAGCTGAGGCACTCCCAGAAAAGCCTGGGGCTAGTAGGGCAGGACTTCCTGTGCTAGGGAATTAGCTCCAGGTTTCTTTGTAGAGCATTCCACCCAACCCCATCTGTTTGAGCCTTTCAGGAGCAGAACTGGGGCTTATGTGTTTTCAGTAGTTTATTCATATTTTGTCACAAATGGCCGGGGAGGGGGTGCCGGACTCCTCCAGGCAACATAGAAAACAGGTCCAAGGGACAGGGTAGGTGTGGGTTTGGCATAAGTAGAGACTGGGTTGGAAAGAGAGCCGGGGGAGGGGAGGGGGCAGACTAGGGGTGGGGCTGCCCCCATGTTGAGCCTGCTCATTCCTGGTGCAGGCGCCCCCCACCTGCAGGGGGAGCTTCAGGGCGAGGGCCAAAGGGGGCTACCCAGAATTTCCAGGATCAAGGTCTGCCTGGTGACAGGGTCCCAAGTTCCCCTGAAGTGGACAAGACCAGAAGTCCTGCCCCTTCCAGAACAACTGCCATGCCTAGCTGCAGGCTAGCAGAGGAGCCCCCACACCTGATTAGAGGCTTTGCCTGGCCCTAGTCAGAAGGGAAGAGCTCTGAAGGCGGGGGTCCCCGCAGCAGCAGTTTGGGGGGTGTGGAGAGGCTGGAGGCACCAGTGCCCCCTCCCTCCCCAGGGCTGAGGCCTCTGGGGCCAGAGGGGCAGGGCTGGGGGTGCACAGGCGTCCGGTCCGATCTGGGCTTCCTCCCTGGCCGGCTTCCCCCTTAGAAGCTCACCAACGTATAAACCATACTGTGGGGGAGACAAGGCTGTGAATTTCTGTCCTGAGAAAGCCTGCCACCCGTCCAGTCATGCCCTGGGCTGTCTATTGTCATCAAAGGCAAAAAAGAGGGACTGGGAATTGAGAGCCTGAAGCCTGGGATACCCCTTGCCTGGATTCCATCTGCCGTGGCCAAAGCCTCACCTGTACAGGTAATAGAAGAAGGAGAGCAGGTAGAAGGCGAGTTTGCACCAGGACTCCTTCTGGCAGTAGTTGAGGATGTCAGCATTCATGATAGAGACCGCATCATACATGACCTCAGAGCCATCCGCAGGACGGTGGAAGTACCTGGCGTGAGGGAGGCCTGAATGCCCTCTCTAGCCACCCCGGTCTGACCCCCCACCCTGCCCTGCTTGCATCTTCACCTCCCTGAGGTAGCTGCTGCCCTCACCTCCAGAGGTGGTAGAAGAGGAGGGGGATGTTGAGGCCCAGGGTCACCCACTCTGCCGCACACAGAAACATCAGACAGAAGAGGCCGTGGATGGAATATTCCGGGACCACCAGCTGGGGGAGTGAGGGTAAGAAGTCAGTAGCATGGTGCCAGGACCGACCCAAGCTTCAATGGCACAGAGGGATAATGATGTTTAAGAAGTGCCAACCCACCGTGATCTCAGAACTAAAAGGCCTCTGGCTTGCCATTCCCTCCCTCCTAGGTGGCAAAGGGGACCAAGCAGGCTCAAAGAAGAGGAAGGCGTTGCTGTGGGCTAAAGAGAGTTGAGGGCAGCACTAGCTAGGAGCTTCCGGACCCCGCCCTGACACTGACCTTCCTCAGGAGGCAGCAGATGCGTTCTATGTTTTTCAAACGCTCGCGCTGTAGAGAAGGAAAGGGCCTAGATAAGGGAGGCTGAGGAGCAGAAACCAGGGCGCCTCCCACGGCCCCGGGCGTGGTCGCCAGAGGGCGCCAGAGCGCTCCGCAGCAGCATCCTCTCAGGAAAGCAGCCCTCCATCCCCATGGCGACCGTCGCCATGGAGGGGCCTTCACCCTCATCTCCATGGCAACGGCCCAGAGCCTGGAAAAGGCTGCCCCCCCCAGGAGGAACCCGAGCCCTGAAGCCTGCTCCAGGTGTTTGCGGGGGTGGGGACAGGGGAAAGGACAGGGTCACCTCACAAGCCCTCCACATCACACCGCACCCCCATCTCCCCGACCCCCATTACCACCCCCCACCCATGACAAAAAAGACAAACAGACAGACACACCTCAGCACAGCACATGTATCACTTACTGCCCGCGCTGGGTTCCCCTGGTCAATGGGGTTCTTGAAGTCAGTCCGCAGCTCATCAAAGGCTATGATCTGGGGGTAGGGGCACGTGCCCGTCAGGGTCGGGCAGGCCCAACCCCTTAGCACCCAGCCACCAGATGGCTCAGAGGAGAAGAACATGGGCTTCCTGGAGGGAGCTGGATGGTAACCCCCACATGCATGTCCTTCCATGGGGTGGGGATGCATACGCGGGGACCCCTCCACACGGGGTTGATTGCCAATGAAGAAGCAGGACAAGTCCTGGCCCAAGTGCACACAGCAGTCAATGGGGCATTAGTGTCTACACTCCCCGTACATTTCAAGACGTGGCCTCTCCTCTCCCAGGCACCCTAGAGGCTTGCTACACCGGCCTCCAAAAGGAGGTCGGGAGGACTGGGGAGAGGACTCTGGATCAGTGACGAGGGGTAGAGCCTCCATATGGGTTGGTGGGGTTCAATCTGACTAGGTATTTGGTGAACAAATGGGAGGAACACAGTCCAAGCCACGGCAAGAGCAGATACAAAGGCACAGAAGGTTGAAAGAACATTGAGGAAGCAGCAGGTTCACGGGGTTGGGTGCTGTGAGGAGAATGGGAAGAAGGAAGAGAACGCTGCACGTCGGTGGGAAGGTCAGCAGCTAGTCCCTGCAAGGCCAGCCAAGACTAGATTATAAGGCAGTGGAGTGGGGCAATCAGATGGTAGTTGAGGTCTGGTGGGGATACAGGCTGGCCAAGCCACAGCTGAGATAGGCCCCAGCAGGCTTTATGAGCTCACTGGATACTGTGGCCACCCTCTTAATGCCTACTACTTTCCCCTCTAACTTGAGGATGAGAAAACAGAGGTCAGGTATCTTGGCCAAAGCCACAAGAGCTACTAAGTGGTAAGCGCATAACCCAGTTAAAAGTACTACCTATTTCGTCATTCTTAGGGCAGATCAGCGAAGGGCGCACTGAGTGTCCGGGAGGGGTTCATGGTGGTCTCCATGAGAGAAGTCTGGCGGCCGTGGAGATGGAGAGGTGTGGATGTATCCTAGTACTCTAAAGGGCCTGTGTGGTGGGGGAAGTGAAGGCAGAAGGCCTCAAGGTCCCTTCTGTCATGGTGTCTCATGGCAGTGTGCTCAGGAGTGGGGAGAGTCCCGAGGGAGCAGAGATTTGAGGAGATGATGCTGTGGACCTGGGAGGAACTGCAGGTGACCTGGGGGAGGCAGGCTGGCAAAGAAGCCTGACTGGGGGGGAAGGGCGGTCCCTTCCCTTCCCCTCTAGCCCCAGGATGAGGCAGCAGGCCCACCACCCCCAAACATCCTAGACCCCATACGGTTCAGAGGAAAAGAACATGGGCTTCCTGGAGGGAGCCGGGGCCATCTGGAGCCCCTCCCCCAATTCCTCATCGACTCTGGGCTGCTGCCTGCCTGACAGGCACAGCAACAGGGTCCAGCAGGGGCGGAAGGGTGCCGTCTGTCTGCCCCAGGGCTGGCACCACCGGAGGGTAGCGGGTGTCGGGCCTCCTACCCCCCAGGCTGCCTGGCGCTGACTCAGCATCACCCCCCTCCCACCCGGAACAAACAATTCCCCACTGTGACAGCTGACACACGTCACTCACCAGGGTTGCCTAGTGACTAGTGGGGCTTGGGCTGAGGGTTGAGGTTGGGACCTGGGTCCTGGCTCAGAAGGTTTTACTTCTTACCAGCTTTGAGTTGAGGACCAGACCTCATGTCTACAAGCCCATTTTACTGATGAGAAAACAGCTCCAGCCTGCTAAGATGACCCAGCTAAAAGGCTGAAAAAGCACAGTGCCTCACAGTGGAGGGGGCTCCAGAAAGGTTTGTTGAGAGAACAAAGGTTCGGCTCCAAACCTTAGTAGACTTAACTCAGCCTCTGCAAGGGCAAAGTCTGGGTCTCACTCAGCCTGACTGCCCAGCAGCTGCTAGACAAACTGTACTAGGCAGGCTTCTCTGAAAATCTCCTGAAAAGAGAGGCCCTATCAGGGAAAGTGAAGATGTGAGTTGAAGGAGTCTTGAATTTCAGGAGCTGATGATCCAGTCCTGTATTTCCCTGCCTGTGCCTCCCCCTGTTTTGTTTTGTTTTCTTTAATTCTTAGGACCCAAGCTCTCCTGTCCCCACAGGACTGTCTAAGGCCCTGGGACTGGGGCAGGAAGCTCAGATCATAATGGACCTGAGGTGATGGAAGAAGAGAAAAACAGAGCAGAAGGCAAGAAAAAGCAACTGGGAGACTCAGGTCAAGACTGGAGCAAAGTGAGGGATTGGGCTGGAGACAGTGCATGTTTGGAGACACCTGAGGGGCCCAGGATCGTCACACAATAGTGGCATAGCATATGTGAGAGGGAAAAGAGGGGGGAGGGCAAGAGGAAAGATGGGGAGATTTCTGGGAGGTGGGGAGCTTCCAGGTAACAGGCAGCAAGTCCCAGGAAGAGAAAAGGAACGAGAAAGCAAGAAAAAGGCAGGTAAATCAAGGAAGGGAGGCAGGCTGGTTGCAATCAGATTAGAGGACCTCCAAAAGATGATGAACGACCAGGAGGTGTGCACAGGGGTCCATGGAGGGTGCTGGCAGCTACAACAGACAGAGGCCTGAATGGGACCCGTTTGGGGCAGACACCTCAGAGGGTACAGGAAGGGAAGCTGGAAGTCGGGTGGCTGCAGAGACCCCAACAATGAGCCAGAGGCTCATAGTTCTATAGAGAGGATAAAGGAACCAGGGAGAGGGGCTCTTGGGAAGGCCCAGGAGAGAACTAGGTAGAAGAACCCCTCTCCAGGGGGGAAGCCATCAGGAGGAGAGAAGACAGAGACGGTCTGAAGAGTCAGGTGTGAGACACCGAAGCCAGGGTGAGGGCATACCGGGAGTGGGGGGCATGAAAGACAAAAGGCATATGTGTGGGGGGGAATAGGAAGGAAGCTGGAAAGTGGAGAGGGAACTGGAGGGTTACCCAAAGTGAGACAGGCGGGGGCTGGGTTTCTGGGGCTGCTTGGAACCTATCTCTCTTGGGTCAGAGAGGGGTCCAGGAGGGGACAGGGTTAATGGGTTCCAAGATATGCGGGGTCTTGTAAACAGATGCAGTTGCCATAGCAACCGGCTCCATCACTGGTTGGAAAAACCCACAAAGGAGGGTTTTTTTTTTTTTTTTGGGGGGGGGAGACAGACAAACTGCCCGATGGACAGATGGGGTGGATTATGAGGATGTCGAAGGATCAAGATTTCTGTCCCCTGCCCAATGACTGGATAAGACAAGGAGGGGTCAGGACCTACTGACATACCCTCAGACAGGCGGGGGCGGTAAAGAAAGGAGGGGGGCTGTCCCCGGGGAAGAAAGACAACGACAGGGGGTGTTAATGGGGGGAGCGAACAGATACCATGGGGAATAGTGGGAAAGACCCTTTAAGTTTCCCGTGGGCTCTGATACCATCCGCCCGAGCCCCCTCCTGCTCCATGAGCCCACTGCCCCCCACCCCGCCCCCAGTCCGAGCCCAGCCTTACGTGCCAGATGACAAAGAAGATGAGGGAGGCGCACAGCACCAGGGTGAGCATGTAGCAGAACGCTGCGAAGGTGAACGCCATGGCCCCCGCGCCGGGCGGCGGCCCGGGGGGCGCCAGCGCGGGGTCTGGGCGCAAGGGGACGCCCCCCGGCCCACACTTAGGGCCGGCCGGGCATGGCCCACCGGACTCGAGGGACACGGGCGGCGCGTCCGGGACCGGGGCCACGGGGCCGTGGGGGACGCGGAGCACGGGCCGTGGGGCTCGGGGGGCGCGTCCGCTGCCGGCTGCCCGGGCCCCGATCGCTCATCCTGCGATCGCTCGCCCGCGGCTCCCTCGCTCTCCAGCCCGCGAAGCCGGCGGGGCGGAGCCGGGGGCGGGGCCGCCGTGCAGCGGCCTCGGGCGGGGCCGAGTCTCTGAGAACCCCTCCGCCAGCCCAGTTGGCTCACCACCCGCCGCTCGCAGCTACGAGCCCAGGGCTCAGGAACCCTCAGAATACACAGACCTGGAAGCCCGTTCCTGGTCCACCTCTTAAACTAGCCCACCACAGACACATTCTGTACTTCGTCTCCCATCCTCACAGCGCTGGCTCAGGGGAAAACGACCGAGGCCCTCATGTGAAGCACTTACCATAGTTGAGGACAGTTGGCATCTGGCTTGAAGCCAGAAGAGGGGACTCAACTCAGCACCTGGAGGAGGTAATAAACCAAGTGCAACGCACTGATGGCCATCAGTGGGGTCCAGTGATTGGTCCTGCTGTTGCCCAACTTCACATCTTGCATGGCTGTCCCGGTGGGTCGTTGATGGCGGTTCACCTGATGGCCTCCTGCCTGCCTCTCTCTGACAGATCCGTGCTGGGCCCTTGGGGACATCCCTGAGCACCAAGGCAGGCTTTCCCAGCTCCAGTATGTGGGTCAAGGGCTTTACCAGCAAACTTAGGAAACAGTCTAAGCCCGGAGCCCCTCTGCATCACACCAAACTCCGGACTTCAGTTCTACCCAGCAACACAAAAGCTGACTCAGACCACAGACCACATCAGTCACCACAGCTTCCTTGCAAAAACCCTTGGCTTATCCAAGGGCCAGTGGAAATTTATTTTTTCATCCTTTTCCATCTTTCCCCAAGTGGCTTTTCCTTGCAAAATGCCTGACATGACACCAGAGGGGAACCTGGGAGAAGAGGCTCCCTCCCAGAGGGGCGGCCCAGGGACTTAAATACACACTGGAGGGGAGGGCAGAGTGTAGAGTGAGACTGGCAAGAGACAGCACAAAAGACATGGCTTCTTAGGTAATGACCGAAGATTTTCTACAGGACGCTGTGCCAGAGGGCAGGGGCCGGGATTCTGAGCGGGGAGAGGAGAGTCCTGCAACCCCAAGCGGCACCCACATTCCCCAGAGGAGGAGGTCTGGCCCGGTCAGGCTCTCAGGAATGAGGGTAGAACTCTACAGATGTGCTGCCTCAGGGAGGGAAGTGGTGCTGGCAGAGGGAGGGTTAAGGCTGGTGCCCGGCCTCTGGCACGGTGGGCCTTCCGCCTCCGCCTTCCTCAGGGACAAAGGGGCTCGGTGGGCAGGCAGCACATGGGCCTGGCTCTGGCAGGGCAGGGGGAGGCAGGAGCAGGCGCCCTCTGGGCTGGAGACACAGGCCCAGCACAGCCATCCGCCCACCTACCCTAGATGTGCTCAAGACCCAACCGCAGCTGGACGGCACAAGCTGAGTGTGGGAGCAGTGGAAGGAAGCAGGGGTGAGGAAAAAGTGGGCTGTTGGGCTCTTGCAGCCCCTTTGTCTGTCCTGAGGTCCACTGCAGGACCCTGGATCTGCGGCCCTGGATCCCCTGGCCACTGCCAGCAGCCTGGGGCAGCAGAGGCAGGCAGGCCCTCAGCTACTGGGAAGAAAAGAAAAGAGAAACCCAGTGCAGCATACATGGGGGTGAGTGACAGACAGCGGAGCCCTCATTCCAAAGAAAGGTGCATGGTGGGCATCTTTTCAAGGTACCTAGAGGCAGCAGCAGAGCAGTCCCTGAGGCCACCCCAGCCACAGGTTCTGCATGTCCTCTATGGGGGCCCTGACAGGACTGGGACTCAGAGCAAAAGGCAGATGGGCCAGAGGAAGATGGGGAGCCCAGACACCCCAAAGCCACAGACTCAAATGCCCTAGGAAAGGGAGGCACTTCCTGCCCCCTCCAGAGGCATCATCTGGAGAAGGTGCCCCTCCCCCAAGTGCTCCTCCTAGCAGCAGCCACCGCTAGCAGGTTTCACAGGGGTGCTGTCAATCTTCAGATTGGGCCGTTCACCCCCAGACGCTGCTCCTGGCCCCATTCGCTTTTTGATCTCTGCTGCCATTGTCATGAATGCCTGTTCAACATTGGTGGCATTCTTGGCACTAGTCTCCAGGAATGGGACACCCAGAGAGTCTGCAAATTCCTGCCAAGGGAAGAAGAGAGAGAAGAGCAAGGGAGAGAAGGGATGAAGGCAAGTGGGCCCCAGCCCCCGACCCCCACCCCCAGCCAGGGCAGGCCCTGCTCACCTTGGCTGTGGTGTTGTCCACAACCTTCTTGGTGGTGAGGTCACTTTTGTTGCCTACCAGGAGTTTATTGACATTCTCGCTGGCGTAGCGATCTATCTCCTGCAGCCACTGTTTCACGTTAGCGTAGGATTCCTAGGCATAGGGTCCAAAGTTATTGAGCTCCCAAACCCAGGCCCAGAGAGCAGGGCTCCTCTGAAGAAAAGGCAGGAGCCCTAAGCATGGGGATCCAGATGAGGTCCTCCCCTCCAGGCTTAGCTTTCCCCTGGTTCTCTTCCATGTGGAAACCTGAAAACCAGAACCAGCACAGAGTAGCTGCCAGCCGGCAGCCCCAACACCGCAAAAGCTGCCTGGACCTACAGGCTATTTCTGCTTCCTGCAGTTATCTTTCCTAAATTACTCCTGGGAAGCCAAGTGCATCAAGAGAAAGACAGGTGACACCTGGTATGGTTGCTGCAGGCAAGTGACCCCAGCTCTGAAGGAGGCTGAGTTCAAGACCAGCCCAAGGGAACTTAGTGTGAGACCTCCTCATAAATAATGAAAGGGGGGCTGGAGAGATGGCTCAGTGATTAAGAGCACTGGTTGTTCTTCCAGAGGACTCAGGTTCAATTCCCAGCACCCACATGGCAGCTGCTCACAACTATCTGTAGCCCCAGGTCCATGGGATCCGATGTCCTTACACAGATATACTTGCAGGCAAAACACCAAATAAATCATTAAAAATAATTAAAAGAAGCCAGGCATGGTAGTGCACACCTCTAATCCCAGCACTTGGGAGGCAGAGGCAGGTGGATCTCTGAGTTTGAGGCCAGCCTGGTCTACAGAGTGAGTTCCAGGACAGGAACTACAGGGCTACACAGAGAAACCCTGTGTTAGCACTCCCCCAAACCCTGACCAAAACATGAAGCAAGCACTTTATGACGGCTACACAATCTCCAGTGCTTTCTTTCCATTCGGAAGCCTTGGAGCCCAGTGAGAGGTGAAGGGTCCTTACAGGGGTGGCCCTGCCTGCACATATGGGCACCACGTGTATAGCTCATGCTGAGGCCAGAAGAGGGTATCAGCTCCTCTCAACTGCAGTTACAGAGAGTTGTGAGCCGACATGTTGGTGCTGGAAACTGAAACCCAGGTCCTCTGTAATGGTACTGAGCCCCCTTTCTGCTGAGCCACCTCTCCAGCTCCCGTTTTTCCTTCAAGGTATGCTGGGCTCTAATATGCACGACCTCATGCCCTGAACGGGGCCCTATGCTGGAAGGAGGGAACAGAGGGGACTTCGTATCTATACCTGCCTTACGATCCGCAGGGCACAGTAGAGGAATAGACCAGGACACGCACATGACAAGATAGGAGCAAAAGCCAGAGCTGGGCAGCCCCAGGACCACTTCTGCCTGAGAAGCTACAGCTGACCCCAGCCTGCAGGTATGGACTCAACTAACACAAAAGCTACCAACTGGGGAGACAGCATCTGCTAGAAGGTAGGGGGTGGTGTCTTTGGGAAGGACTGATGAGGAATGGTCAGGGTGGAGCTCAAAAGGCCTTAGCCTGGATAAACTTGGCACAGCCATGAGCCGGTTGGGATGTTCTCCGATGGAGGGTAGCAGATCATACCTGTGTTCTGGAAGGAGTCTGGGCGGGGTTAGAGCGGACTAACAGAATGCAGAACAGCCGAAGTGGCTGGACTCTCTAGAGGAATGTCCTAAACTAGAGAATGCAGCACAGAAGAGCACAGGCTCTTAGAACAGCTATCTTGGCTGTTGCCTAAGCTTGGTCGTTTACTATGTGACCTTAGATATCTAGTCACGTGACCTGGGTCTCAGTTTCCTCTTTTGCACAGATGACACCTTCCAGTAGAGCTGTTGTTTGCATAAGAATGAATGCAGGCCTGTCTCATAACAAGTACTCAATTAGCAAGAACTGCTATTATGCTCATCACTGCTATTATTATGAGGGGACAGATTTGAAATGATGGGAACAGAATGGAGGTGCCTTGAGACTAACTATGGAGAAGGGAAGTTTTCTGGTCAGCATTTATAAAGATTATGTTACAAAATGTGGATGCAGGAGGCGGGTGGGGGAGATGGTGAGGCAAGCAATAGGGTCTGAAATCCTGCAGCTGGCGCAGAGCCCACAAAAGCAATGAAGGCAGGAAGGGGGCTTTGTCTTTCTTTACTGGGACACCAGAGGCAAGTTACTGATACCTCTAAAAAACAATTTCCTTATATACGAAGCATGGTTTACTAGTCAGTGTTTTTCACTTTGACACAAACCTAAACATCTGGAAAGAAGGTATCTAAACTGAGGAACTGCCTCTGTCAGACTGTCTTAGGAGCCTGTCTATGGGGGCATTTTCTTTCTGTTTTCTTTCTTTCTTTCTTTCTTTCTTTCTTTCTTTCTTTCTTTCTTTCCTTTTCCTTCTCTCTCTCTCTCTCTCTCTTTTTTTTTTTGGAGACAGGATTTCTCTGTGTAGCCTTGGCTGTCCTGTGACTCACTCTGTAGACCAGGCTGGCCTCAAACTCAGAGATCCACCAGCCTCTGCCCCTGAGTTTGAGCTCCCAAACCCAGGCCCAGAGAGCAGGGCTCCTCTGAAGAAGCATGGTGTGCACTGCCATGCCTGGCTATGGGGCATTTTCTTGATTGATGGTTGATGTGAGAGGGCCCAGCTCATGTGGGCAGGTAGCCCTGGGTGGTCTAAGAAAGCATGCCGAGCAAGCCGTGGGGAACAGGCCAGTAGGCACCTTTCCCTATGGTTCTTGCTTAAATTCATGGCTTCCTTTGGTAGTGGACTATTACCTAAAAGTTTTAAGATGAGACAAGCCCTTTCCTCCCA